GATGCTGGGCCTGGGCTGCACCGTGGACGTGAACCACTTCGGCGCGCACGTCCGGCGGCCGGTGGGCGCGCTGCTGGCCGCGCTCTGCCAGTTCGGCCTCCTGCCGCTGCTGGCCTTCCTGCTGGCGCTCATCTGCTCGCTGGACGAGGTGGCCGCCGTGGCGGTGCTCCTGTGCGGCTGCTGCCCCGGCGGGAACCTCTCCAACCTCATGTCCCTGCTGGTGGACGGCGACATGAACCTCAGGTACGGAGCGGGGTCCCCGCGGCGGCTTTCCCAGCCCCACCGGCCGCGGCTGCAGCCCGGGGCTCCAGACCGAGGACAGAGGACGAGGGGCGGTGAGACAGGCATGGAGCGGGGAGGCGGCGGCGGAGGAAGATGTGGAAGTCAGGGCAGAGGGGAAGAGCCGGCGTTGTGGGGGGAAGATCTACACCGGGGCGAGCTGAGCTGAGGGTCTTGGGGTCTCCTCTCCTCCGCGGCGCCCTCCCCACCTCCCCGAGGGCTGGGCTGTCCGCGCAGGTCTTCGCCGCTGGAAGACAAAGAGAACTGGGAAGCCTGCGGCCAGGACTCCCCGGAAATGCCCAACAAAATAGGGCGATTGGTCCCAGAAAAGAGTAATCTCATACAGAGGACAAGGTAATCCTGTTCAATCCAACAGGTAGCGGTCAGCAGCGTTCCCGTGTCGAACGGGTGATCTGAAGGCTTAAAAACTATGCTCCTGGCCCTCAAAATCATCCGGACCATCCAGACGATAGCCCGCTGCACAGGCCGCACGGAGCCAGGGCAGCAGTGCGGAGGGCTTTTCTTCGCCGCCCCCCCCCCCCCCCCGCGTCCGTGTTTCAGTTGGACTTGGACACGCAGCTCTCTTGGCACTCACCTGGGATGAAGCAGGTTCTCCCCAGACCTCAAGCTGGGAAATAGCAGTCGCCCCCTTTCCCTTCCACCTCCGGTTCCAGATCGAGGGTGGCCCACGTGCCAGACGGGTCCTTGGGCTCGCAGCCCATTCTGACTTCCGTTCCTTCCCTTTTCTGCAGCATCATCATGACCATCTCCTCCACGCTCCTGGCCCTGGCCCTGATGCCCCTGTGCCTGTGGGTCTACAGCCGGGCTTGGATCAACACGCCCCTGGTGCAGCTGCTGCCCCTCGGGGCGGTCACCCTGACGCTGTGCAGCACTCTCATCCCCATCGGGCTGGGCGTCTTCATTCGCTACAAATACAACCGGGTGGCTGACTACATTGTGAAGGTCAGGTCACTCCTCCTTTCCATACTTGGCGGACTTGGAGTCCTTGGTCCTGAGCGGGGCTGAACGCTAGGAGGTTTGGGAAAGAGGGGTGAGGAAGAAAAGGGTTTGGCAGGCCTTGCATGGATACACTTTTTTTTTTTAAGTTGATGCTCAAAGATAACTTTCACCTTTTTGAATTTCAGAAATTATAGCTTTAAGACACAGATCAATTAAAAACAGCACAAGAGAACTTGGTACTCACAGGAGGAAACAGGTCATAGGGAGATGGGTGGCAGTGCATAAAATGGGAACATTTTCCATGAACCGCTCATGTGTTACAAAACAAGCAGGCAGAATGAAATTATTTTAATAGAATTTGTACAGTACTGAAGAAATGCGTTACTAATAGAATTTGTAGTGTATTTTAGAAATGTGTTAGTGTTTTAAAGACGGAACTCTAATTCTGAGAAACTGTACACAGCTGCTTTAAAATGCTTTATTAATTTTCTAAAAAATAAGTTGATATTAATACGACCAAAAGTAATTTAAAAATCACATCATGGCAGTATAATAGAATGCACAAAATATGAACTTTAAAGCACAAAATAAAATTAGGTCATGGATAAATAGTACAGGCTATATTGCTATTAATAAATTTGTGTTTTTTTACTCCTTCCTCATTACAATTCTTTGATTTCTAAAGGTAGTGAAAACATGGGGATTTCTACTATTTTATGCAATATTTCCAATATTGCTTAAAAAAACCATCTGATGCTTTTTGTAGCAGGAGAGATTTTGTAACAACAGGTGACTGGAGGAAATATTTAAATATTTCTAGATTAAGCTTTCTTTGAAAACTGAAACAGCAGTACATAAGAGTAAACAATGAGCAGCATTCTCATTTCAGGAGGTTGGTAACATACAGAACTAGCCATTGTAAAATGCACATGCAAACTCCTTTACATGAGAGAAAACCAGTCTCTCCAATGTTTCAATTTAGGTTTCATAAGACATCTTTTGTGTTTTACTTGCATTATTTTCTAAAGTAACTGATTATACAGAGGGGCAAACTTTTATTAATATGAAAAACAGAGGGTTCTCTTTAAAAAAAATTTTTTTTATTGATTTCAGAGAGGATGGGAGAGGGAGAGAAAAATAGAAATATCAGTGATGAAAGAGAATCATTGATCGGCTGCCTCCTGCACGCCCCCTACTGGGGATCGAGCCTGCAACCCAGCATGTGCCCTTGACTGGAATCAAGCCAGGACCCTTCAATCCACAGGTTGACACTCTATCCAGTGAGCCAAACCAGCTAGGGCTTCTAACAAAGCTTTTGATGTGGGCACACTTTGAAACTTAATATAAGTTTTGATTTATAAGTTTGGCTTTTGTCAACTGTACATTGGTAGCATGAGTATCTTGTATAATATTTATTCAGCATCCTGGTGTACTGGGCTCCCTTCTGACTGCCCTGTTAGTGAGAGGCACATTCACGAGTTCAGTGTGTGCTCGGAACAGTAAAAACTCCCAAACACAGTTACACGATGGAGGCTGAGAGCCTGGAGACGGTGCTGGAGAAGAGTAGCCTTCCGGGGTAACTGTTTGTAGGCTTCTGAAGGCGGTTTGCAGGTGCAGCGGTCTGTGTTGCTGCTGAGGGCCTGTCCATGACAACGGCTTGCGGTTATAGAAGGCAGATTGTCACTAGATCACTAGACATAAGAACAGGCCTCCAGGCAATCAGAGCTGTGCCACGCGGCTGTGAAGGCCTCCCGCCCAGCAGTCCGCCCTTCCTCAGGGGTCCTCTGTCAAGGCCTTGACCACAAAGATCTCCGTTTTGTGTGGGAGGTCAGACTAGATGGGTCCCTCTTCCAGTGCTGGGAGTCCCTGGCCTGAATTCCCCTTCAATGGTCTTTTTTTTTTTGATGGCTTGTTTATCCCTTTTCTATCACCAGGTTTCCCTGTGGTCTCTGCTAGTGACACTGGTGGTCCTTTTCATAATGACCGGCACTATGTTAGGACCTGAGCTGCTGGCGAGTATTCCTGCCACTGTTTACATGATCGCGATTTTTATGCCTCTAGCAGGCTATGCCTCGGGCTACGGCTTAGCCGCGCTCTTCCGGCTCCCACCCAACTGCAAGAGGACCGTCTGCCTGGAGACGGGCAGCCAGAACGTGCAGCTGTGCACCGCCATTCTCAAGCTGGCCTTCCCACCACGGCTCATAGGGAGCATGTACATGTTTCCCTTGCTCTATGCCCTTTTCCAGTCTGCAGAAGCAGGGATTTTTGTGCTAATATATAAAATGTATGGAAGTGAAATACTGCACAAGCAAGATCCTCTCGATGAAGATGAAGACACCGATATTTCTTACAAGAAACTGAAAGAAGAGGAGATGGCAGACACGTCCTATGGCTCAGTGAACGCAGAGAGCTTGATGATGGTGGAAACCGCTCAGGCTGCTCTCTAAGCGTGGAGACACACAGGAGCATCTGTCTTGCTGAAGTTTTACTTCGTATTTATAGTCTGTGGTAGTGTATGTGGTTTACCTAGAGGGTCACAATTGGCTCACAATACCATACTTGTAACAGTTTTGAACTTACCGCTGTAAGGCCGCCTTGGTATATTCACTAGGCGTTTTCACCAATTACAAGTCAGTGTCGTATGATAACTTGCACCTGGGACTGCGCACGCACGTGAAGCCTGAACAAGTGAAGTGTGCTCTTTGGTTTCAACCATTAACCAGTTTCTATGACTGTTTCAAAGATGTAAACTCTCAGAAAACGGGGCTTGGGAAATGTAGAATTTTGGTGCACTATCTTATATGAGTAAAAACAAGCTATATTTGTAAAGCATCATTGAGTTTAATGTAATTGTTGTAAAAAAAAAAAGTGTGCTAGCTTAACTTATGAATACTTGACAATGCTGAAATTTGACCTGTAGTTAGAAAAATCCCCAAACAGGTCAATTAAATAATGACTTATAGTATTTTAGTGTCAATCCTGTTTCAAATCAGAAAAAAATACACTAACATATTTGATTACTTGATCTGATATCTCTTGATGAACAGACATTTTTCTGGTGGACAGAGCGCATTGTTTTTTTTCAATTGGGGACTGACTTGGCCTAATGCATTTATGTTAACACACCTCCAATCAATTTACTTCTTGGAGAGATGGTTAGATGAGGAAATCTGTAGAACTACTCTCTACCCCAAAGAATAGTCATTAGTACCTGCAGGTACTCAAGAGCACCTCAAGGCCCACGTATGAGGTGGGGCGTGTGTGGGGGTGGGAGCACGTGCCCCAGGAGATGACAATTAGCCTGGGCATGGTGACCTAGAGCGCTTCCCACACGTGCTGAAAGGCTTCATAGGAAGACTTCCCTGAGCTCATTGAATAACCTATAACCTGAGATCAGAGGTAACCCAACCAAACCTTCGCATTTGCTCACTGGCCAGAGGCGGGCAGCCTCGCCTCGGTTTCCTGGGCGCTCAGACCCCGAGGACAATCCAGGGATGGGGACCACCTGGCTCAGCGCATCCAGGTGATAGTTCTCTTCCCGGTGGGCAAGTTCGCGTAGAAATCAGTGCGTGCATCGCAAAGAAGCCTCCTTCCAGAACATCTCAGGGTATCCGTGCGGACCTCCGGGGGGCGGGGGAGGAGGGGAGCAGCCCTCCCGGCGGGGCCGCGCGTGGCGGGAAGGCGCGGCGGAGGGGCGGGCTCCGGGCCGCCCCCGCACGGCCGCCTATTTAGGGCGCGGCGGCGGGCGGGAGCAGCTGCGGCCGCGCGCATGGCCTCCCCGGGGGACGAGGCGCTGGACGGCTACATGTACCCCGCGTGCGCCGCCTACCCGTACCCCTACCTCTACCCCCCGGCCGCCAGGGGCAAGGGCCTGGCGAGCGGGGGCGGCTGGCGGCCGCGCGCCGGGGACCACCCTCCCGCCTCCCCCGCCTTGGCCGGGGCGGCCCCGCCGTCCTTCCCGGGCTACGGGCAGCTGATGGCCGCCGAGTACTTCGACAGCTTCCAGCGGGCGCAGCTCATGGCCCTGCTGTCGCAGGTGGGCCCCGGCCTGGCCCCGCGGCCCCGCCGGGCGTGCAGCCGGGACGCGGCGGTGCAGGTGAACCCGCGCCGCGACGCGTCGGTGCAGTGCTCGCTCGGGCGGCGCACGCTGCCCCGCCGGCCCCGCGACGCGGACGCCCCGGCCCCCGGCCCCGAGGACGCGGCGGGCGGCCCCGCCTCCCCGCAGCCGGCGCGCCCGGGCCCCGAGCCGGGCAGCCCCCCGAGCGGCGGCCCGCGCCTCCCGCGCTTCCCGCGCTCCGTCGCCGTGTACTCGCCCGTGGTCTCGCGCCGGGTCACCACCTTCCTGGAAGGCGCCGAGGCCGCGGCGCCGGGTGGAGAGCGAGGGCCGCCCCCTCCGAGGCCCCGCGGCCCCGAGCGGGGAGAGCGGGCGGCGAGGACGGCGCCGGAGCGGCCGCAGGCCCAGGGGGAGGAGGAGGCGGCGGAGGTGCGCGCGAGCTGGGAGCCGTCGGAGGACGCGCCGGGGCTGCCGTCGCGGGAGGCCCGGGGAGGCGAGGCCGCCCCGCGGAGCGCGTCCGGGAGCCCGGAGCAGCCGCCGCCGGTGGGGGGCGCCCAGGAAGGCGAGGGCGAGAGGTCGTCGCCGCGGAGCCCGGAGCCGGGCAAGGAGCGCCTGCGCTTCCAGGTGAGGCCCGAGTCGGCGGGACGGGCGGGCGCGCGGGGACCCCGGGGCGCGTCTCCTCCTGGTTCCGCTCTGGGCGCGGGGACGTCGGGGGCCTTGCGCAGCCGCTGGCAGCAGCGGGCGTCATCCGCCTCCAAGAGTAAATTAATTGTAGCCGGATTGTGATTGAAAACGCCGGCGCCGAGGTTGGCGAGGGAGACGCCCTTCAAACGTCCGTATTCTGGGCGTATTTGCTGTCTAAACGCCATGGTGGGCACGTTGTCCGGTGTGGACGATCTAGGTGGGTACCGGGGTGGGGGCGGGGGGCATCAGAAGGTGGGCTTGCTGGCGGGAGAGTTCATGCCCCAGGATCCCACCCACTTTTCTCAATTTAACGGCAAAAGCCACAACAGTCGACTACTGGGGTGCTGTTCGCCTCGCCCCTGATTCTTGCTGGGTTTCCGAAAGCTTCCGCTGGAAGCTAGAGCCGCTGTAGTGCCTCTCTCAGGGTCTGTCCTTGCTCCTGAAAGGCACCTCCACTCAGAAACATAATAGTGCGGAAGCATTTGGGCTGTTGGTATGGCAGGCTAGGAGGGCCAGTCCCCACTAGCTGAACCCCAAAGGCCTGGCGTCCCCTGCCGACAGCTGTAACCCAGGGAGTGGGAAGGCATGGTAGGTACAAGAGGCCACGAGGGGGTGGGGCGGAGAGGTGAATCTAGAATTTATACACAGGCTATGTGCAATCTTTTTTTTAAAAAAAATTATTTCAGAGAGGAAGGGAGATGGAGGGACAGAAACATCAATGATGAGAGAGAATCATTGATCGGTTGCCTCCTGCACACCTCTTCCTAGGGACTGCAACCCTGACATGTGCCCTGATCAGGAATCAAACCGGGACCTCCTAGATCAGCGGTTCTCAACCTGGGGGTCGACCCACCCTTTCACAGGGGTCGCCTAAGACAATCGGAAAACACATATATAATTACATATTGTTTTTGTGCTTATCACTATGCTCTAATTATGTTCAATTTGTAACAATGAAAATACATCCTGCATATCAGATATTTACATTACGATTCATAACAGTAGCAACATTACAGTTATGAAGTAGCAACGAAAATAATTTTATGGTTGGGGGTCACCACAGCATGAGAAACTGCATTAAAAGGTCGTGGCATTAGGAAGGTTGAGAACCACTGTCCTAGTTCGTAGACTCTGAACCACTGAGCTACGCCGGCTGGGCACTGACTATGTGGCATCTTAATTCCTAACCTTCCCGGACTTCAGTTTGCTCACCTGTGAAGTCGCTGAGCGCTCCCCCAAATTTCTTTCACTTTGAAAGGCCTGACTCCAAAGACTTGTTTGCTATTGGTTTCTCCCTGGGCGGGAAGACAGCTTAAGAGTAAGGCAGTGGTACTTTTGTTCATGTTACACGTGAGCTGTGGCTTACCCACCATTTGGATTCCTACTCTATTGTTCTGGGGGGCACTGAACTAGCAGCCTGGAGAACATCATCTTGGGTGAACACCTGGAAGTACTTGAGGATTCAGAGTCTCACTCCTGTTCTTCAGCGTAACTACCCCCACGTCTGTGTTCTAAAAGCACTTGATCCAACCGAAGAGGCCTCCGGAAAGAACGGGAGGAGTAGAGAACCCTGGGTGTTTGGCTCTCCCCTTGCCCGTCTGAGGGAAAACACCGACTCGGTCCTTGTCAATTAATTTGCTTTATGAACCCCGTTGACCTGGCACGTAAACTATCTTAGGCCCATGTTTGCAAAGCTGCTCAATTAGGCCATTCGCTCACCTCGTTCCTTCCTATTTCGAACCTGATCCTACTTACCTCCACCACTGGAAGGAAGCTGCCAGTGTTAAGTAGGAGATAGATGCTCCTCAGCCTCTGAAATGAAGGGAAACAATTCGATATCTTGTTGGTTGAAACTCTGGTGTCCTTTTCAGTTCTTGGAGCAGAAATACGGCTATTACCACTGCAAGGACTGCAACATCCGCTGGGAGAGTGCCTATGTGTGGTGTGTGCAGGGCACCAACAAGGTAAGCAGCCCCACGACGGGCATCTTTCGGACAGGGGTGTCCCGAGGGCTTGCTTTACGTTCTCTCTCTCGCATCACAGGTTTACTTTAAGCAGTTCTGCAGGACTTGTCAGAAGTCGTACAACCCTTACCGAGTGGAGGCCATCACCTGTCAAGTAAGCCAAGAGCTTGCATTTTTGTCTGGACTGGGTAGTGGTAGAGGCTTTGGTGCAGTTTGTTGAATATAGTTCCTCAAAGAGGCTAGGTTCCCAGGGACCTCCAGGTTTTGACAGCTTTTTGGTAGGAGTTCAGAATAATGTTCAACTGGTAAACAGGCCTCAGTGTCAGTTTCCTTCTGCCCTTGCAGATCTCGGTCATGGTAACCTCTTTAGAGACCAGTACCTCACTTGCAATGTGGAAGAACATTTGCCTCACCTACTGCTCAGTCTAATGTAAGGGATAGCAAACTGAAAAAATAGGATACCGTCCTGCTAACATGGGGTGGGAAAGGTTGCCTGCTTGGCCCAGATGCTTCTTATGAAGCACATGCCCAAGTTAAAGCATTTAGTGTAAGCATGGGATTTTTTTTTTAAAAAAATTGACTTCAGAGAGGAAGGGAGAGAGAGAGAAACATTCATGATGAGAGAGAATCATTGATCAGCTGCCTCCTGCACACCCCTCCTCCCCCCGCCCCAGAATTGAGCATGTGCCCTGACTGGGAATTGAACCCTGAAACCCTGACCTCCTGGTTCATAGGTTGACACTCAACCACTCACCCACACCGGCAGAGCTAAGCATGGGGTTTTAAGGTTCAGTCTCGCCTGAGAGCTTGCAAAAAGGAGAATCATTTGTTTGAAAGTAAATCTAAGACCCCCAGAAGTGTGGCAAACTGTAGACGCACTGAGGTCATGGCAGAGGTGGGTCAGGTTCTAAAGGAGGATGTCTTTGCCTTCTGCCTCGGTGTGAGGTCGCGTACAGTAGGTTGGGGTGGGGAGGCCAGGCCATTGATGCCAGCCCAGAGCCATGGCTTGCTACTGGGCACTAGCCTCCCGCAGTAGCTTTCCTTGTTTTGCAATACTTCTATTTTTATTTAAAAGTTCTTTTGTTTTTCATTTCCTCACCCCAGCTTGCTTATTCTCCACCCTTCAAGTGCAGGAAAAGACTTCCTGTAAGAAAATTGTTTCAAAAGAAGCAATTCCGAACTAAATCCTATGTAACATGGGACTACGGCAAAGGGTTAAGCACCCTCTATTTATAACCCTATCCTTGCTAGAAAGGATTCAGGCAAGATTAGCACAGGGCCTTGCTTAGAGTGCATTCAAGCAGCATTTGGACTAGGGAAAAACTTTTAAACTTCCAGGAAGTCACCCAGGGGTTACCTTCTGAACGCGCTTCTCATTTGATTTTTCAGAGTTGTAAACAGACTAGATGCTCCTGCTCAATAAAACTTCGCCACATTGACCCTAAACGGCCCCACCGACAAGATTTGTGTGGGAGATGCAAAGGCAAACGCCTATCCTGTGACAGCACGTTCAGCTTCAAATATATCATTTAAATGAATGTAAAAGACCAGTCCTACCGACCGTGTGCTAGTGGAGCAGACAAGTGGGCTGTGTGTGCCCCTTCTCCCTTTTGCCTCCTTGTGCAAGGCTGTGTTTCTTGACAAAACCTTTAAATAAAAGAATTGCAAAACAATTGCATAAAATCGTGTCTTTTAAAAATAAAGTTTAGGAGAGCTTGTCCTGTACTAACAGTCTGGGCCTGTCACGTGTATTATTTGTTCACGAGAGGCCCAATGCACAAAATTCACACCAGGGGCTTGGCCCTCGTGGCCCTGGCTTTGTCCAGAAGGACATCCGGATGGTCGTTCAGCTGTCCGGTCTAATTAGCATATTGCACTTTTATTATTATAGATTGCATATGGAACAGCCAGGCTCTGAGGCATATTCGTCACTGGAGGAAAGTGTAAGAGGGGCTCATAGATGTGAGATTTACTGCTTATGTGGGAGTGTAGGGCTGAAGCTTATAAGCAAGACATGAATAAAGAGAAGCCAACTAGCCATTGAATAAGCATGCTTCTGAAGGAGGCGGAGGCAGAGCCATCCTGCTGTATGGGGCAATTTGGGGTAACCCTGAGTGGCTGGCTAGCTCTGGGTGGGAACTTCAGTGCATCCTGGCGACCTCAGTCTAGTAGGTAACAAACTCGGGGTAGCGGGGAGAGGCGTGCTGTGAACAAAACTGCATTATTAATCATCAGTCTCACAGCTGGGGCTTGGAATAGGGTTGCTAAAGGCAGCTTCTTTAAGATGTTAAATACATTCATTCAATGGACTTCTGGTTTATAACGAGGCCTCCTAAGTGTAAGGATTTTTTCAAGTGAGTTGAAGACAGCTTTAGCCTTTGTTTCTATTGACTTGCTGTTCTGTAACTGGAAAGTGTTTTCGCCATCTCTAACCTAAGGATTCTCTCCTAACTGCACCCCAGTCCCAGGAAAACACAAGGCCCCGACGCCCCATTAAAGAGTTCTGGGGTGGAGGTGGGGGGTGGCACTTCAGTTAGTGGCAGGGGATTCTAATGACAATGGAGTTGAGGGCTATTGACTTAAAGGTTACAGATGCCACATGATAGGCACCAGGTGCTAATTATGTCTCTTTCCAATTTTCTAACCAACCCGTTTAAGTTAACCCTTACTGCCTCAGAGGTGCCATAAAAGTAAGCCTGTTAACATCTGGGATGCTTGCATGTAGACAGACAAGGAATAAAAACCTAAAATGAGTTTGAGGTCTCTAGAGCCCTTAGAGCAGTGGTTCTCAACTTTGGCTGCACATTAGAATCACCTGGGAATCTTTTTTTATACAAATTTTAAAATATATTTTGATTTTTTTACAGAGAGGAAGGGAGAGGGATAGAGTTAGAAACATCGATCAGCTGCCTCCTGCACACCCCCCACTGGGGATGTGCCCCCAACCAAGGTCCATGCCCTTGACCAGAATCGAACCTGGGACCCTTCAGTCCGCAGGCCGACGCTCTATCCACTGAGCCAAACTGGTTAGGGCTGGGAATCTTTTTAAAATCCTGATTTCTGGGCCTCATCCTCCGGAAATTCTGTTTGTTACTAATGTTGTGGCCCCACCCCATAACAAAGAAACAGAATTTCCGGAGGATGAGGCCCAGAAATCAGGATTTTAAAAAGATTCCCAAGTGATTCTAACGTGCAGCCAAGGCTAAGAACCACTGCCTTAGAGCGAGGGGAAAGGCCCTCTGCATCCATATGGACTTAGGAAGGTGGCTCATGAAAATGCAGATCCCAGGCTTCTGCCCCCACTGAATTGCTGCAGCAGCATTTAACAAGTACCCAGGTGTTGCTTATGGAATTGAAGTGAGAAAACCAGCAGTTGAGTCAGCTTTGCACTTAGTACTACGGAAAAACATGGGTGTGGCCTCTGCCCTTACGGAGCTTCTAATGTAGGGGGAGAGAGCCATTCATTTTTGCATTAAAAAAAATGTAAAATAGAAGTTCTGCCATGTTAATAGGGGATAGGACTTGGACAGATTAGGGAGGGCTTGCTTTGAAAATGACACTTCAGCTGAAGTTTGGATGAGCTGAATTAGGTAAAGGGCGGAAGGAGAAACTTCCCAGATTAAGCTGACATGTGCAAAGGCCCAGGGGTGGAAGAAACCAGGAGACCTGTGGTAGAACACGGGGGACAGGAATGGGCATGATAGTCGGTGAGACCGGCAGGCCCAGACTGGGAACACCTGTTCGACTTTGCTCAGGTACCTGTCATCAGTGAGAACCTACTGGAAAGTTTTAAAGCTATGGTGGGATAGTGACCAACAGATTCACCTTTAAAAAGAAATAACTCTGGCTGTACAATGCATGTCTGTCAATCAGTAAGGAGGCCTGCAATGATCAGATAAAATGATGGGGGGTGGGGGTCAGAGAGGAATGAGTGACAAGAACCCTAGGTGGTGTTGAAGGTACTGTGTCATTCTGACACCTGTTACTTAGTCGAGTGTAGGAATAGGAAACTCATTTGACTGGTATGGCATGCATGCCGTGTACAGTATGCTCTCAGGCATTTGCTGAATGAATGAGGGAACAGTAGAAAGATACCTGCTTTGGTTCCTGAGAGAAATTCATTGGCTATTAACATGGGTAATTAAAATTTCCTAATAGAGCAGCTAACCCTATTTTACAGTTGAGAGAAGCAAGGATCAGACTATGTTTTACTTAGTGGGGATTCAGACATTGAATCAAGTGGCACAAAACATCATTTTCATGAGTTACAGTGATGCCTGGCTGGTGTGAGTCAATTGAATGTCAACCTATGAACCAGGAGGTCACGGTTTGATTCCCTGTCAGGGCACATGCCCGGATTGCAGGCTCGATCCCCAGTAGGGGGCATGCAGGAGGCAGCCAATCAATGATGTTTTTCTTCGCCTTCCTCTTTCTGAAATAAAAAAAATTTTTTTTTAAAGAGTTACAGTGATAACATTCCAGCAATGAGATGATATTGAGCTGTATGTATACAATTAGGAATTTATGAATGTGAATTTTTTGAGCGAGATTGAGAGTCTAGAAGTACTCCAGATTACTGTGATCTGTAGGTGTCAAGAAATTGATGATAATTTTCTTCACATTTCCTACATTTGCTAAAGCAACAGTGTATTACTTTGAAAAAAATTTCTAGTCATAAAACACAATTATAATTACATTGATTCTGGTATCTTCTTCCCTCCCGCCGAGGTTATGCTGGCGTGGCGTCTGAGCAGTTCTCACAGACCCGAAGCGGGGAGACTCGGTGAGTCTGTTCCAAAAGATACGTAACTATTTGCTAAATTTTAGGTTGTAACCAAACCGGTTATGTTACGTCACCTACAGCAGGAAATATTTTCTGCATTGTGTAAAAACCCCTTGGCCTTCTATTTTAGAAGTAGTGTGAGGGAACGTCCAGATCTCTTCTTTTGGTTTATTTTATAAACTATTTTGAAAATGATTAAGGTGTTTAATAAGTTAAACATTTGATATATTTTGTCAATAAGTGTATAGTGTGGATTTAGAGGATCAGGAGCAAAGAAGTACAGGTTTGAGGAAAACCCTTTGGAAAAAGGACAATCCTAATGATTGTACATTTGCATCTTGATTTCTGCAGGTGTGTTAATTTTCATTACATTATTAATGGATGTAGTTACATATAAACAAACATGAAAGCAAACTTCAATTGTTTGAAAGGTTTGATTTGGGTAATCAACTAATTTTTGTTGTTAATCCTCACCTGAGGATATTTTTCCCATTGATTTTTAGAAGGTGGAAGGGAGGGGGAGAGACATATAGGTTGCCTCTGGCATGCACCCTGACGGGGGCCAGGGAGCAAGCCTGCAACTGAGGTACATGCCCTTGACTGCAGTCAAATCCTCAACCCTTCAGTCTCAGGGCTGATGCTCTAACCACTGTTAGCAAACCGGCCAGGGCAGGTAATCAACTAATTTTGTTCTCCCTCTTTTATGGAAAATCATATTGAATAATGAAGATAATTTGTAAAGTTTCTAAATGATGCACACTAAAATCATCTTTTCTTAAAATACAACACAAACCAACAACTACAATGCTTTTTATTTTAACAAAAAGGATAGAAGGAAGGTGAGGAAAAATAGGGGATGGTAAGATAGGATGTAAAATGTGGTGTCTCTCTGGACACCAGCCCTCTCTTCCCTGCCCCACACCCAAATGTTACTAAATAATTTAAAGGACACCATTTACAGTACCAGGACACCATCAAAATAATTGGTTTTATCAGGGTCAAAAAATACAGTGATTATGGATGTGCCGTGACCAGTTAGGGAATTTTACAGGTAACATAACTATAGTCAGCAGTCCAACAGGGTGCACTGTGCCTTCAATTAATGCACTTGAGCATAATTACATTTCTGGCAGTGTCCACACCCCCAAGAAAAGGCAAAGCTAAGCAGTTCATTCCTACATTCTAAACTCTGGAACCCCAGAGCCCAGTTTTAAAAGAAAAGTCACAGTGGATAAGAGATGCATATAAAAAATACAAGGGTGTTCCTTTCAAACCAGAGGAATTGTGGGACTACATTCATTTCTTTTACAAAATGCTATTTAAAAAAGGACAGAGAATCCAGTTCATGTTATGCTACAGGCTTAGACAGTGGCTAAGTATATTGCATGTTTTGGTAGTCGGTCTTCAGGCTTCCTCTCATTTCCCCCCATAACCCCAGGTTCCTTTCGGGTGAAACATTTGAGTCCCGAATAAACATATAAAAATGCATTTGCACCTCTCTTCTTGAATTCTGCAGACTTCAGAGCCCGCAAGTCGTGTAGTCTATCATCGATGACCACAATTTTTTTCTTTAGCTTTGTACACCTGTTCTTGTATAACAGTGCATTGCACAAATGTACAAGAAAAATACTGGTTTTCATCTATACAGTTTCTATAATTATGGAGTAAAATAAGTTAACTTTTCTAATGAGAACAGCTGACGGGCAGCATACATCTTTATTTTACATTTTAAAGTCTCTGCAGGCATCTACTTTGGTTAGTTATCAACAATCATAACATAAGCACTGATCAGAGAACTGAGCAGCATTCCAATAACGTTAACAGATATATTATTTCTTTTTGAAATACTGGGAGAGCCCAGTTTTAAAATATTATTAAAATGTTCTAACA